ACACGGGCGGGGGGGCCCGTTACCCCCGGGGAGCGCACACCCGTCGGGCCAATAGCCCCAGTGTCTCGGGTCCGAGCGACGAGCCTGAGCCCGGCGATGCGAACGGGACCCTACGTAGCGCTGCCCATTGTTATAAAATGAAACATCAGTTATTCACTAAATGTGCTTGGTTAAATATTAGCCAAGAGTATATTCAACAAGGTACTTACATATAGCCAGCGATAAGGGCCACCTGTGTTAAATATAGCCTCTGGGCCATGAAGTATTTTGAGTGGCACCAAATTATAGCAAGCCCTTGATGTGAGCTAATATCCAGGAGCTAGATTTGGTTTTACCACAAGATGTATGCACTGCCTGTTGCTTAGTTACACTGCCCCAGGAGCAGCCCAGACCCACAAGGTAACTCAGATTATTCCTCCAATCTTCCCTCTCTCCCCACTTCCCCTGACCAAAGAAAGAAACAAGGACCAAATTATATCTCAGGGCAGGTCTACACTACAAATTTTTCTGTAGCATATCTGGTAATTCTGTAGTTCCCTTTTCTGAAATAAAATGCTACCGTGTTCGGCAGCTCTGGTATTTTTCCCACCATAGGGATATTAAATGTAATTATATTATGGTCACTATTTCCAAGTGGTTCAGTTATATTCATCTCTTGGACCAAATCCTGCACTCCACTTAGGTCAGACTAAATCACAAATTGCCTCTCCTCTTGTGGGTTCCAGAACCAGCCACTCCAAGAAGCAGTCATTTAAGGTGTCCAGAAATTTTCATCTTTGCTTTCCTGTCCTGAGGTGACACGTACCTGGTCAGTATGTGGAGTGCTGAGATCCCCCGTTATTGTTGAGTTGTTGATTTGTATTGGCTCTAATCTCCCTGGGCATTTCACCATTACATGGGCGGTTGATAATAGATCCTTGCTCCTATATTCTCATTCGAGCATGGAATTACCACCCCTAGGCTAGTCTCTGGAACAGTTTGGTTCAATTAAGATGTATACCTCATTTGGTTCTACGCTTTCTGTCACATCAATTGCCACTTCCCCACCAGTAGCACCTCTTCTGTCCTTCCAATATAATGTGTACCCTCGTATTACAACATTCCTGTGATTCTCTTCATTGCACCAAGGTTCTGTGATGTCTATTCTATCTATCCTCATTTAATACAAGGCACTCTAGCGTGCCCATCTTATTAGCTAGACATCTAATATTGATATATACGCACTTTAAAAACTTGACACTTTTTAGCTATCTGCCATTACAAGATATAGTGTATGGGACTCTTACTTACCTGTTTCTGATCGGATCTTGTCCGTATTTTGTCATTTTCCAACCTCTTCTTACTAGGATATAGAGACTCTCCATTAATAGATCCTCCCCTAAGGCTTGTCATTGTCTGAAGGATGTGTTTTTCTATACCTTTTGGCTTTCCCGCAGCCCTTAGTGCACTTAAAGCTGTAGAGTGGTTTTTAAATTAACTAATACAGGCAACAGCTCCCCAATAATCAGTGGTGGGGTGAAGAAGGAAAATATTGTAACTAAGAGATACACTAATGCAATTCTCTAAGTATGAGATTAGGGTTAGGCATAGTATTATGGGAAGAGTGGGGCTGGGCTAAAATGCATGTATTCAGGTGAACATGTAACTGCTGCACAGGGAACTGGCTTAAAAGCCACCTCCTGCCTGCCCCCTCCCCTGCTGCCTTGATACAGAGCCAGCAGCACAGGGGGAAGGACCTGCGTGACAGGGC